AGCGGGGGGACGCGGCCCGGCGCTGCAGGTACCTGCTTCTGTCTTTATCTCTCCTTCCCGCGGGGCCGGGACTGCTTCGCCTTTGGGCGCGGTTCTGAGCACGGTTTTGAGGGGTCGTTTGATCGTTTTTATCTCTTGGAGATCAGCAGTAGTGGAAACTGAACTTGTGTCAGGAGACTGGTGACTCTACTCTCAGTAGCCTCAGCTCTACTCTTTGTAGCCTCAGCAGAACCACTTACTGCAGGACGGGGTTACCCCTGCTTCTGAACTCTCTGGGGTCCTTTGGTTCTGAATGCTCCTGAAATCCTGTTGCAATTTTGTTCTGCTGTACAATGGAAGATACATTTGATGGGCTTGAGTAGTGAGGAGGTCGCATCTCTGAATGATGTCTGATCAGCAAACTGCAACAACCCTCATTATCAACAGATAGTCCTAGAAGTGTTTCTCTCTGAACCCTTGTCATGTGAATTCATACATTTTCCTGTTGTTGTACACTGAGCTGACATCTCACACCCCAAGAGAGCAGTATCTGCTTTTATCTATAAACTTCAAAGCTTCTGCTCAAGCTTTGCATAGTGTTTGCAAGAGTTCTGAGGTGTCAGGTTTGCTTTGCTTTGTTACTTTTATCTCACCAAGTCTTGCATCATTTAGTGTCTGTGATTTCGCCACTTCCTGCAATCCCAGCTCTTTGGCAGGATTGCATGAGCAGTGTTTCATTGAGAATCACGGTAGCCTTATAAAAACTCTTAAAAGAACTGTTGAAAGTCAAAAGATTGATACTTGTTTGGTGCGAGAGCCACCGTTCTTCATTCCAAGTGCTCTCAAACAAGAACAAACTTCCTAGAGGAGTGATCTGCCAAGGAAGACAAGAAGCAAGACTTCTTACATTGCCTTGGTGTACAGAACAGGGAGCCTAGAAGCATGATTCATGTTAAAAGGGGTGTTTGTATGTCAGGCAAGTGCAAGGTTCTGTCTCAGCTGAATCTGTTTGAATCCATGAAAGTTTTTCAGGCATTAAAGGAAATCAAGAACCAAAAGCCAAAGGAATGTCATTGTTATTTAGTAAAGACAAAATCTCTGAAAAGTTTAAATGTAGAAGCGAAGCTTAACAAGAGCTAAGGCTGCTAAAACTACTGCCATGGTTTCCCTTTAAATTCCAATTCCACAGCACCTCTACTTTATACCAAGCTGCATTAAATGAAAAAAAGTGAAAGCTGTTATAAGGCGAGGTGTAAACTTGATTGTGTTTTCTTCTTTTAACATATCACACGCTTTAGTATTCATTTAGGATGTAATGTCTGATTAAATTAATTATTGCTTTAGACCCTTTTAAGTTGCATTTTAGAAAATGAAAAAAGTTCTCACTTGGTGTTTTTTTTCTTGCTGCTTTTCCTCAGGTGTGCCAAAATGTCAGAAAGATCAGATATTCTTCACTTCAAGTTTGACAACTATGGGGATTCGATGCTACAGAAAATGAACAAACTGAGAGAAGAAAACAAGTTCTGTGATGTTGTGGTGCATATAGATGATGTCGAAGTTCATGGGCATAAAATTGTATTTGCTGCTGGCTCTCCCTTTTTACGAGATCAGTTCTTACTGAATGACTCCAGAGATGTAAAAATCTCTATACTGCAGAGTTCGGAAGTGGGGCGGCAGCTGCTTCTGTCCTGTTACAGTGGCATTCTGGAGTTTCCTGAAATGGAGCTGGTAAACTACTTGACTGCTGCAAGCTTCCTGCAGATGAGCCACATCGTTGAACGATGTACACAGGCCCTCTGGAAGTTTATAAAACCGAAGCAGCCACTGGAGAGCAAAGAGTGCGAACAGCAGAGCGACTCCTCTGAGCTGAAGGAACATCAAGGGGACGACGACTCTCTGCAGCAAGATTCACCTTGTATCCAACCTTCAGAAGACAGTATGGACATGGAGGATAGCGATATTCAGATCATCAAGGTGGAGTCCATTGGGGAGGTAACAGAAGTCAGAAATAAGAAGGATCAGAACCAGTTTATTTCTTCTGAACAAACTGCGCTGCATTCCTCGGAGCCGCAACACTTTCTTATCAACTCCACTGTTGAAAACAGGGCAAGTGAAATAGAGCAAAACCACCTCCACAACTATGCCCTTTCCTATGCTGGCAGTGATAACATCATTCTGGCCTCTAAAGATATGTTTGGGCCCAACAACCGAGGTATAGACAAAGGCCTTCAGTGGCACCATCAGTGTCCAAAGTGCACAAGAGTGTTTCGGCATCTGGAAAACTATGCTAATCACTTAAAGATGCATAAACTATTTATGTGTCTGCTCTGTGGCAAGACATTCACTCAGAAGGGCAATCTCCACCGGCACATGAGAGTGCACGCAGGCATCAAACCCTTCCAGTGTAAGATCTGTGGGAAAACGTTCTCTCAGAAATGTTCCTTACAGGACCATCTCAACCTGCACAGTGGGGACAAGCCCCACAAGTGTAACTACTGTGACATGGTTTTTGCGCATAAACCCGTTCTGAGGAAACACCTTAAGCAGCTACACGGTAAAAATAGCTTTGACAATGCCAATGAAAGGAACGTTCAAGACATAACAGTGGACTTCGATACATTCACATGTAGCGCTGCTACAGACAGTAAGGTCTGTCAGCAAACTGATGCAAGCCAGGTACTGGATGCAGGGAAGCTGCCTCAGGCTGTGCTCGGTTTAAGAAATGATAGTACCTGCGTCAACTGAGCAGTTAAAACCAGCCCTTTGTAGAGATCGTGACTGAGGAGCAGACAGTTGGTTTGGGCTCTTACCTAAGCTAGTGGTATGCCCTGAAAGGCAATGAATGGATGGATGGATGGATGGAAGGATGGATGGCAGGTTGGATTGCAAAACCTGGCAGGTCTCCAGCCACCATTCTTAGTCTTACTTGATATTTTCTGTGAATAGCAATCTTCCTTCAGGTTTCTGCCTGTGTCTCTACTGTGGATTATGGGGTGAATTGTTTCATTTCTCTCTGATTACGAGACTCAAGACTAACACCTTTTGAAAGACTGTTGCTGTGGGCTGCCAGTAAGCCATCTGCTGTACAGTTAGAGGACTCTGTCTGGGCAGATGGAGGAGAGAGCAAAGAGGACAAGTCTCTGAGATAACCCAATTATTATTTTTTTTTAATCACTGGATAACTGAAAGCACTCCATATAGTTAAATTTAAAATTACCTCTTAAAATTACCCTTCTCTGGTCTTATCTCTAGACCCCTACAGTTGAAATGAAGTATTTTTGTGTCACTTTTTTGCCCTTTCTAAACTATTTCAAGAAAATTCCGCTGCCAGTCAATGCTATCTTAAAAGCTCTCAGGGTTTTTAACCTCAACATGCATTATGAAAAGATAAAACCCTAAATGATTTGGCAGGGTTAGCTGGTCATTGCATAGAACTGTTCAAAATGAGAAGAAATTGCAGCTCTGGAATGTGAGAGGCTGGTGCGTGGAGTGCAAGTGTGACCTATGTCTTACACTCTCATACCTGGGATTTTTAAAGGGCACTTACCAGTGTATGTACTGACTGAGACAAGCTAAACACTTCAAAACTAGAATTTATCACCCATCTTCCATAAATGTTGCATCACATAAGCCACAACAGCTATTAATTTTAGAGCAAAGCTGGAGTGGAGAAATACTGCTTTTTGACACTGTGAAAAGAAACTGTTTTCAAAGCTGCAAATGTATAAGATCTCCATGCCTTGCTTTTTTAGTTCTTGCATATCTCTCCTTGATAGCTAATAAGGGCCACATGTCAGTTAACTTGAAAAAAGAAACAAAAATACCTGTCATAGGAATGTTAACAACAAAGTTATTTAATTTCTTGGACATTCAAATAATACTTTTTTTGTTGTTTTAAGTGCCCTGCATAGTTCATGGCCACTAGTGTTTTACAGAGCATAGGATGAGGTATAGGTAGCACAATTTCCCTAGGTTAATATAGCAGCTATAGCTGTACTCAGCAATACCTCTTGTATACCGCCTTAAACATCAAATGTAGCGGGAATGGCATGTTAATTGGGATTCTAGGATTATACCATATTACTTCTCAAAAGTGCCATGGAATTATCCGCATCCCAATCAGGCTGAAAGTAATTTATGAGGGACACCATTCCCAGTAGAACAGCACTCTTATTACACTGAAGTGTAGCATAAACTAATAATCAAATGGCTGATCCTTGGTAGGGAACTGCTGTTTGTATTTGGAGTAAGTATTTCTTCCAATGCAGCTCTTTTCCACAAGGTTTGCATGAGGCTGAGATTATGCGTCCTACCTAAAAATAGTACTGTTTGTGTGTTTGAATGACGGGGTGGGGGTGAAAGGCTGCTATTGTATGGTTAAAAATGCTAAACAGGTATGACCAAAGGTGTGTTAGAGCAAAAAATGGTTTGTATGTAATTATCAAAAGCTTGTCTTGATTTTCAGATCCACGTGTGTAAAAGCCAGGATTCCCTTACACAGGCATTACACTGATGGATGTTAATGTTGCAGAACGTTTTCAGAAACCCACGTAGGTTCAAGTAGAAAAGCAAGGTGATTCTGTGAATCAGGTTTTGCAGTTGTGTTCGTAAACTACTGTACTTGACTGTTATGTGAACTGTTCCATGGACAGCTATGAAGTAAGCAATGGAAATGGAGTCAGGGCATTACATCTTTCAAGTTGTAGCAAATATATTTAGGCCTAAAATCTATTTAGAACTTTTAAAAGGTTCAGGTTCCTGGGGCAGAAAATAGGTTTGCATAGGAAGAGAAACTGGTTTTCCTCTTAAAGCCACCCACTTTCAGAATTGTTTTGAGCTGAAACTGAATGTGATGGTTGCAGCTGACACTGGCATTCTGTGCTCAGGCAGAATCTTCTGTATTGTGCAAACATTTTGATAATACATTACTCACTGTATGGAAATAAGCTATAGCACTAACGTCAGAACGAAGATAGACATGGAGAATAAGAGCTTGCAGAGCCAGGTCAACATGTAAGGGATGAGTGAACAATATAACGAGATATGAATATGGACATGGTAAAGAAAATGGTCTTCTGCCAGAGAAAGGAGTAAGACTGTACAAATGCTAGAAACAGTGGCAGCAAAATGGAATGGTATTGAAAGCTTTGTCTGGGAAGTTTGGTTTGGTTGTTTTTGTGGAATTACAAAGCTGTAATCCTATTGTAGGGAGAACACAGCTTGTTGAAGCTGATATGAAGAGACAAGGGAGTTTCCTAAGGAACAAAAAAATGATTTGGTCAAGATACTAAGTTTTCAGTCCACCCTGTGCTGTGGCAATGTCAACATCTGAGAAGGCTGGGACTGCGTTCAGTTAAAAGGCTGCTTTTGGGGTCATTTTGTGAGACCATGGCAGAAATAGGAAAAAGCAGAAATGCAGAAGACTGCTTCTCCGATGAAAATGGACACATCTGTTGGATGAACAGTGACTTCTTACTAATGTCTGTCTGTGCTTTTGGCCTGGCCAAAGGGTGCAGGCCAAAAGGTTTATGCAGGAGATGGCTGCATGACTCCAGAAACTCTGGAGGTCTAAGAGGGCAATACGCTGATGGCATGGTGCAGAGCACACTGGTGGTTGAGTTCATGTAAAACTTGCCCCTATAAGGAACAGACAAGTGAAGATTATAGAAGAGGTATTAGAACAGAAAAATCTGGCTAATGCTTCTCTGAATTGCAGATGAAAATGGAGTGAGAATTATTCTAAATGGAATATACAGAGGCAGCTGGATTTCTATAGAATAAGATGAACTTAATGGTCTATGTATGTAAAATGTTGTCTTCATTGCAATGTTCCAGTTAGTGGAAGACTAGATCCATTGGTTGTTGCTACTGATGCTGCATATTCAGATGAGGACTATGGCAGTTATCATAATCTGTGTGTTAATGTGTAGAATACTATTTGCTGGTAAGTGGATAGTCTCACAAGTTAATGTGCTGTACAACTTCCTGCATATCCTAAAAATAACTGAAGTCTATTACAAAAATATTTTAATAACTCCTTGAATATATTAGGATTTTTTTTTTTTTAATGTTGGCATTTAATTTATTTATTTTATATAGAAGAAGAAAACCTTAGAACTGTTAGGTTTACCAGTGGTTTAGGCTCACCACTTCTCCAAGTGGTGGTAGCTTGTGTAGCGTGTGTTCCTGCAGCGTCTGGTGCAGCTGCACAGCCTCCTGTATAGATCAGGGATGAGTATTTATTTTTCTTTTAGAAGACACGTTTTGCAAATTAGTAACTGATAAAATTGAAGTGTCAGTCTTTTTCTAACATAGCTTTTTGGCAAAACTTAGCTGCCCGCTGGACTTTTGTTGAAATAACTGAATTGTGTGGGGTGGATTTTGGTTCTGGAGTCATTGGGAGGAGTAGAGGTGAGGAGGGAGAATCGAGATGTGATGATACAAACTGAAACTGTTGAGAGAACTGTAAAGTCACGTTTAATCTTGATTTTTAAAGACAAAGGGGGGAACGCGGGTTGCTCTCCTGATGTGGTAAGGGTTGAGAAGGTAGAATGGACGTTTTTCCTTGGAGATTGTATAATCGACGGACTGAGCATTAGCTACCTCTGCAGTGACTGGGCAAAAGTCTCATACTACGCGTTGTTACCAAAGCAGGCGGTCGGTGGCTGTCGGTAGCTTCCTCCCCGCTCGGGGGCCGGGGCAAAGCCTGCTGCTC